GAAACGCGTTCTGATAAGGACAAGATAGGACAGCGCTGTGCACGAGTTGACCCCGGTCAATCCCCGACTTGACGCGTGAAATTGCAGGTCACCTGCCGCTAATTTATGGCCTACCGCGGGGGGCCCGGACTAACTAAAAGATCGCTGAGACGGAATTTCGGACGCCGTGACTAATCAAGGCCTACAGATTTTGGCTCTTATAATAATTTGTCACAGCTGGATGATGTGCGGCATCTTTTCTAGGCAATTAGTTCATTTATTTGGAGAAAGGTTCTGTGTTATGAAAGTTCTTACGATGAACTAAGTGAAATTCTCTTGCGGGTCAAATATAATTGTTGGCTGGGTTTTGAGTTTGACACCATTGCTGTAGTTTTTTGTCTCACGCGATGCTACTTTGTGCAGTGTGATGCTTCATATCAGACTACTTTTGACTATACTGCTGTGTAAAGTTTTAGATAAATGATACAATTAAAAATTGGGTTCTTTTACTTTTCAAAGTTTTGTTTACTCTGTGTTATTCAGTATTCAGCAGTCTTAATACAGTAGTATGTACAGGTGAAAATGTGGTCAATATTGGGTTGACAACTCATAAACTGCGACTTATGACAACTTTTACTCTTCTCTCTCTCTCTCTCTCTCTCTTTTTTTGCTCTCTCTCTCTTTTCTCTCTCTCCTCTCTCTCTCTCTCTCTCTCTCTCTCTCTCTCTCTCTCTCTCTCTCTCTCTCCTAGCCCACTCTGTCTCGTGCTCTCACCCTAAAATCACAGACATAGACCACTTTTTCTTTCCTTCGCATTTGAAAGTAACCAAAAACGTGGCATCATACATTGACTGAAATTACCATTTTTTGTGATACAAAAAACCTGTCCACAATTATATCGAAACGCGACAAACATACCTTCTTCATAAAGCGTTGTCTATAAATCCCGAAAATATTATCCTCAAGACCCCTTCGTCCATTTTCGCTGAAATGAAAAAATCAGGAAAGACGTAGTTGAGAAGTCGCATACAAATCTGAGAATAACATCACGAACAGGCAGTAGAAAATCCTTCACCACTGCTGCAATACGTTCAGTAAACATATGAAAACGATATCGTTATCATACATGCACATGTCACATATACAAGTGTGAGATGCCTGGATACAAATCTGAGAATGTTATGAAAAAGAAAGTAGATTCTAATAATCCTTTATCACTACTGAAATAAGTGAAGTGTAACATGGTGATGTATTCACAAATTTGAGAATATCACGAAAAGGAAAGTAGAAAATCTTAATCACCGCTGAAATAAAAAAAAAGTTATAATGCTTTAGTTACAGCTCTCTCAGACTATCGCATGAAAGGTAAAAGAAAATCATTAATCAGCACTGAAATAAGTTAGGTATCATGTTTTAGTTACAGATCTGAGAATATCACATGAGAGGTAGATTTAGTATTTAAAAAAATCCTTTGTCGCTTTTATCACCGCTGCAAAAAGTACAGTATGCTGTTGGAGTTACAAATCTGAAAATATCACGAAAAAGGAAGTAGAAAAATGAAAATCATTTTTATCACGACTGAAATCAGTAAAGTACACAATTTATTATGGTTTTGCAGTTAGAAATCTATGAATATCACATAAAAGGTAGTAGAAAATCCTCGCTGAAAATTTACTTATAAAGTATAGAATGTTTTCGTTACAAGTCTGAAGAATATTACGAAACAGGTAGTCTAGTAGAAAAATCCTTTATCACGTTTATCACCGTTGGAATACGTAAAGTATGATATTAAAGTTACAAATCTGAGAATATCACGAAACAGGGAGCAGAAAAATCCTTTATCACGTTTATCACCACTGAAATTATAAATACATTATGATATTTAAGTTACAAATCTGAGAATATCACGAAACAGGTAGTAGAAAAATCCTTTATCACGTTTATCACCACTGCAATAAGTAAAGTATGATTATATTAAAGTTACAAATCTGAGAATATCACGAAACAGGTACCGGTAGCAGAAAGTCCCTGATCACCGATGAAGTAAGTAAAGTACACATGATGATGTAGTAATGTATCTCGGCCTTAGATACATGGGCGAGATGCTGACACTGTAGCCCCCTCACATCACATCACGTGCAACATCTCAGGAGCACGTCTAGCCCAAACTGTGGCCGCTCACTCAGTGCTCGGGATGTCAACAACGAGGGTCTCTTCTGCACACGGGGAGGAGGGGGAGAAGACTACGGAGAGTGAGAGAAGGGGAGAGAGAGAGAGAGAGAGAGAGAGAGAGAGAGGGGGAGAGAGAGACAGAGAGAGACAGAGATAGATAGACAGAGAGAGAGAGACAGAGAGAGACAGAGAGAGAGAGAAAGAGAGAGAGAGACAGAGAGAGAGAGAG